TCATATTACTATTTATTTTGGTGGGAGCTAGACGGCTTTATATGTAATTACAAGTCTGCTATATAACAGCATGTAACTGGTCCCATGTTCTGATTTATTACAGCCATGTTTTGGAGCCCCTTATGAACTGCCATATGGCTATCTTCCTTTATGCATCTTGGCTTTCATAGATGAATTGCTCAATTACTATTTGCAAAAGAAATTAATGCTATAACACTTCTTCATAAACTTTAGAATCGCTATGAAAATACTTAAAATCGTGTGAGAAACTTTAATTCATTAACTCCATAAATTATCTTGGTTAGAATACATTTCTAAACCCATCTATGAACACCTCATTGAGTTTGAAAATCATCAAGTCTTGAAGAAAAATATAATTAAGGCTTTTGATTTTAATCACATAAGACACATCACCTTAATTTTACTTTTAGATATTTCATATATTTGATGATCTGATGGCATATTCTTTTGCATTATGCATCTACTAGGAGGTTACCGTTTATATGAAAGTATCCTATTGATGATTGAACGTTTGTCTTTTAATTTTGAGAAAATATAGTTAATGGAACAATCCTATTGTCTGTAAAATCAACTGGAAGAGGTATGTCCCAGCCAGTAATAATCTAAGTTGCATTAATTTCAAATGTGTCAAAGATGTTAAATATAAATTATGAGAAAAAAGGAAAAAACCCTCAGATAAAATATCAGGTTTCCTCTAGGGTAGGTTGTTTGCTTTCATGTCCTGTAAGAGTGAGGCCTTTTGATGCTTAGCTAAATTATGGGCTTTTGATTCGGAGAAGTATGGAATTAAATCCTTACCCTGTCACTTTCTAGCTGTGTGGTTCTAGGCACATAACCTCTATAATTTTTGTTATCCTCAGTTTTATGGTGGGCAGAAAAATACTTCACAGCCTTGAGGCAAGTATTAAAACTCCATAATATGTATTTCTGCTGTGTCTGATGTTGAGACACAACCTTTCATGTTGAAGACAGTCCAATTGATAGCACAAAAGACATTTGTTACTTATTCCTACTTTTGGAAGTTAACCCTAGTGAACTCTTCTCCTAAAACCTTTTCTCTCTCTGAAAAATTTTGAGATAAAATAGCAAGGGGAAAAGAGCACGATTTATCCACAAGCCTGAACAATGTTCAGGGAGCAGGCCAAAGACCAAAAGCACAAATCATTCTGACCTGCACTGAAATGCAGACTCTAAAGCCCCTCCCACAGATGCAGTGCGTGACAGTACCTCAGGTCATGCAGACCCACGCTCAAGTTCAGAATCTATGATATAAGGGAAGACATACACATTCTCATAATAAAATTATTTTTTCAAAAGAGAATGAGACATTTAAATTCATGCATTCCTTTATGAATTATAATGATATGAAAAAATCCTATAGCAAATTGAGAAAAGTCTCTTAGGCAATGGAATTACATTAGGAATATTAGTATGCATTGGACTTTTCATTTATAAAGCAACATGGCATCAATTCCCTGTTTCAGTCATAGACATTATACAAAAATTCCTGTTAGATCATTGAATTCTACAACAGAATCTTTGTTATCTTATGTTTTAAGTTATCAACACATGGAGCAAAAAATGCAAATATTATTATTCAGTTAAATATATTTAATTAGTAGTAATGGTGCATGTTTTCCCAATGTTATTGATATTAGAATGTTATTTAAGGTACCCAAAGCATTACTAAGTGATATTTTTGCCTGTTCTGTCATTGTACACACTTATGTGTATATGTGTTACTTTATTTTGCTAATTATTGTAAAATTAGTACATGCTAGTTAAAAAATTTAGAAATGAATAAACTGTACTAGGTTAAAATCTCATATTCCCCACCTCACAATTTCCCTTATCCCTTGTAAGAAATAATCACTTAAAATTTTGAATGTGCCCAGATGTTTTTATAACTTATACAAACTAAGTAATTTATCTTTCTTCTTTATATTCTCAAAATTTAAATAACTCATAAATTGATCACATAAGCTGTGAAGGGCTTCCACTTACAGATGTCCTCTTCCCATGTGCCTCTCTGTGGCCACTCTTACCTGCATCTTTTCTCCCAGTCCCATAAAATGCTGAGATCGTCATAGTGCCATCTATCTCAATCTGTGAACTTATATTAATTTTGGAAAAATGCAAGATATTTTGGAGGGCTATCTAATTCATCATCCAGCTGTTCCCTGCAAAAATCATAATTAGGTATTGTATTAACCTGCCAGCCGTACCCAGGAAAATAGAATCAGAAGTATAAGAAAGTCTGATTATGATTGAATATCTATAAACGTGGTCCTCAACCTTGGAGACACATTACCCTGACTTGGAGAGCCTGTAAAGAATCAGATGTGCACACACATGTACAACAATGCCCAGTCTGAGCACTGGGATGTTTAATATGTCATTCAGATTTGGGAAATACTGTCTAAAAAATGAAACTGCCCTTCATCAGCCATTCTAAAGAAAAGGTTGGTATAAATGGACATTTTCAGGCAAATGTGCGTGGTTTTGACAGAAAAGGAGACCCTGGTGTGCTAAATATGAAGTGAGGATGGATATTAGGTAGTGTGACACAGTTAACCTTTTATACCAGATCCTTGACTCATGGAATAGGGTGGAACATTCTAAAAGTGTCTGGTGATTAGAGTCCAAATATCTATGGGATTAAACGATGTTCTCCTGTTTATGTTCTGGGAAATACTAGCCAAGAATATGGGGCTAATAGATTTCAAACATGCTGCATAACTTGCTCCCTCAGGAGATAACAGTGTTTATTTGTATCTCCTCATTTGACCTGTTCAGAGAGATATTATAGTCAAGAAACTTGTTGAACTTTGGTTTGTTTTTAAGCCCAGTGTTATCCAAACATACACACCCAACAAATATTTTGTTGAGAACCTCTTTAAGCCCAGCCATGTTCTAGGTACTAAGGAAGGAAGGTCAGTAAAAGTACCTGCTTTACAGAGCTTATCTTCTGGGTGGGGTGGTGGGGGGAAGATGAACAAACAGGATCCCCAAATAATGAGTAATACGAAGAAGATAAAACAGAAAGGTAAGATGCCAGGGTGCCAGCTGCACTCCTTCAGAAGCTGGGGGATCAGAAAGGGCCCGTTTTAGGTGGCGCTCTTTAGAACAAGCCTGAGATGCCAGGAGGAGCTGGTTGTGCCGGGATCATAAGGGCAGAACTTTCAGAGGGGACTGAGCAGCCAGTGTAAAGGCGCTCAGGGCTGAACTTGGTTTCCACACGGAGGCTCCCTGTGCTTCGACCATTGTGGGGAGGTGGCCAAAGATGGTGCTGTCTGACAAGGAATTCGGATTTTGTTCTACGTGGTAAAGGAAGCAGTGTGGGTAACATAGTTTATTTTACCTTTAAAAATCGTACTGACTGCTCAGAGGGGACGAGATCAGGGATGTGGTTGGGCATGGGCATGGGAAACAGAAGGCTGAAAAGATGAGGAGGAGCTATTGAAGTAGTTCTGGTGAGATACTGCTTTGTTGAACTTGGTGGTCATAGCTGAGATGAAGGGAGATGCCCCGATTTGGGATATAATTTGAAGAAACTGTCACAGAGCTGCCTGTTTTGTGTGAGCCTGAAAATTGGGTGTATGAGGTGTTGGGGGTGTTGGGGGATAAGAGGAATACAATCAAATTAATATGACTATGAAAAACCCAACTTTATTTTTATTATTATTATTTTTTACTATGTTAGAAAATATTTTGGTAAATGCTTATTTGTGAAGTAGAAAGAAAAGGAGGCAAATGGATAGGTTCCCTGGGGATTGGTGCTATGGAAATGTTTGCTTTGTCTGGTATGGTCTCCATGAGGGTGACCTCATTTGTGGATTGAGTTATGGTAAGGGGGCATACCACGTGGCTGAGTAGATCATAATAAGATCCCTAATTTTGTTGCATGTCTTGATTGTTACAGCTAAACAGAAAAAGGAGGAGGAGGGGAAGAGAAGGAGAACAGGAAGGTGGAAGGGAAAGAAGAGGTGGAAGAGGACAAAGAGAAGATGAAATAAAAATTTTAAAAGTTAAATATCAATTATTGAGAACAATTTCTGTCTCATCCTAACTTTTTCACATATGCAGCTTTACCATATGTCAATGTGGGAGAAAAATAAAAGCTGTTTAAGTGTGGGCTTTGCAGGTGTTGGGTAGATGCATCCTGATATTGTGAAAGGGACATTGCTCCTGGTCATACCATATAATAGTTTTGCAAACACCAGAGGGTTTTGTTTTTGTTGTTGCCATTTTGACATTTAATTTCTTCATTTGCAATTTGATGGTACTAGCTCAGCAGCATTCCTATGGTCTTTATAGCTTTCAGATTCTAGAGTCTGTCAGTCTAATTTCAGGTCTTTCCAATTATTATTGATTCCAGTTTCCCTTAACAATTTTTTAAATACAGAAGCTTTTACTTTATTATTTTTTTTAACTGAAGAAAAATGATGTGTAACAACAGTTTTTAATGTGTGTATCCAGCTGTGTGGTGAGCGAAGTTTAACAGCCTGTTCTCTGACTTGAAGGTCTGGTGATGTTCTCATTTATGTTGCTGAGTCAGATGAGAGAGTGAAACGATAGAAACACGCCTTAACCTTGCTCATTCATCAGCTACGGGAGCAACTTCTATGCCGAATCTGATTCTAGTCTTTGAATACAAGAGGATGTTCTCACTGTTCATGTCAATAACTTTCATTTTCATCTGCACTTCATAGAAACAAACTTTACTGGGGGTTTCACAGTGAAAGCTGACTTCATGCAGATGGTGGGATTTAAACTGCTATATAGAAAGCAGTTTAGACTATAGTAACTTCTGCAGATGAAACATTATGATAAAACTATTAATAATATGATCTTCTTTAAATGGCTGCCATTTTATAAGTTAAAAAGCAAATCAGACACTGCTTATTGGTGTTTTAGGGGACAAAGTGAAATAGATACTCTCCAGATGCACTGATTTCCTTCTTGCTCTTTTCTTCTAGGGATTTGTAGGAAATGGAAACGCAGATAGTGTTGTGTACTATAGACTCCAGCCTTCTATCAAAGCCAGATTTCTGCGCTTCATCCCTCTAGAGTGGAACCCCAAGGGCAGAATTGGAATGCGAATCGAGGTGTTTGGATGTGCATATAGTAAGTATTTGTTTATCCAACACAGTGGAATAGATATCAAAGGAGGTGTTTTAAAAGCCAAACTGTATGCCGAAATTGACTTCAGAGCTATGTAAAGAGACAGAAAAACAGGCGATTTTTGTGGAAAGCTTTATATGTGCCCATACATGCCAATATTGGCTTATGTGTTCTGCTTTTATATTATAAATCAGAAATGGGTGCATTTTATTGACAAACTGATACAGAGATAGATAGATGTTTGTAGACACATATGAATCCATTTACCCAAATCTGATATTACTGACTAGATCTTAACTTGTAAATATTAGAACTTATCTCTATAGGCTATATTTGATGATATTTCATTTGGGTAGCCTAAACTTCATAAAACACAGTAACCCATTTAGTAAAACCAATCATCTGTTATGAGAACAAAGAATGCTTTTCCTCTGCAGCCTAAAAATAATATGCCATGAAACTCATTTATAAATACGCTATGCCCTGAACATAAATTCATAGAGAAGGTAAAGACCCCTGCCAAAGTGTAAAATGTGTTTGAAATACTTTCACGTAAGAAAAGATAGAAACCACAGATTTCACTTAGTCTCCTCTTCATGAAGCATTTTATTATGTCTTTCTGTGGGACAGGGACCTGAGAGATATTGATGGTCCACCTCAAGCCACACCATCCTGCCAGATGCCCTGTTATTAGAGAACAGTGAGTGAGTTAATGTGGTCTACAGTGATGAGACCAGCAGTCTGAGGTTTGGAGACAGTCAGTAATTTGCCCAGTGTCTCACGACTTAGTCCACAGAAGAACCGTTCGGTTCCACTACATCCTGATTCCTCTAGTAAACCTTTATTTCTTCAGCCACTCAAGCTTTCTTCTCACGTGTCTCATGGATTTCTCAGGCTCACTTTATTTACGTAAAAGGCAGGCATGTCATAAAGAGGACAGGCAGCTTGTGAAATTTGTCTGTGCTGTGTCGGACGGAGAAACCACATTGACAGATTGTATTAATAGCAATAGAGCACTCATGTTAATAGGATTAATTTTTATAATTCTAAAAGTAACCTTTTTCTTGAGTGCTTGTTATATGTTTGACACCACATTAAGCAGTTAGTTTATAATTCACAACCAAGTCCAGATAAATATTATTAGGTAACTCTTCCATTCCCCTGCTTTGCAAATGAGGAAGCTAAAGCTTAGAGATTCGACTCTTGAGACTGTGACTCCCTCCAGTCACCCAAATAGGAAGTGACAGGATTTTCAGCCTCATCTGCCAGACTCCAGAGCCGCAGCTCATGCTCCTGCCTCCTCCAGCTGTTAAATCCAAGACGAGCCATGGGCAGCTTCACTCCTCACCGTCTGCCTGACACTTTCTGCTGGCTTTCTTGGCATCTGCACTTCAGCTCAGCTGCTCCTCCCTTTGCAATGATCTCACTTGAATAAAATTATCCTTAAAAAAAAAAAATCCCACCCCAGATTGTGATTCTGGAACAAAGAATCTGGACAGTCTTATTTGTCTTAGGATTGTGGAGTTTTAGCAAAGCCCATGCCATACAATGGACAATCAGCAAAGCAAACTCCAAAATGATTTGTATTTATAGTTATATTTTCTACTGGTTCAGAGCATCCACTTTGCAAAATATTTATCGTTGTATAATAATACAAACAGTTCTTGAGCACTTACTCTGCGTCAGATAACAGTTTTTATAGATATTTAATTTAATCCTAAAAATCACCCATCCAAAGAAGTCTTAGAAATATTAAGCAGTTTTCCCAGCAGCACACACTTCATATTTTGAATCTCATGTGTAAATTCAAAGTTAGTTTAACAAGGCTATTGACACTGGTCTCCTTTAGTAATGAAGTGGCTGCTGGGAAAGGAGGGTCTTTGAGTCTCAATGAAGTGGCTGCAGGTTCCTATGAGTTCTCTGCTGCCTTGTACTGGATGATAACTCACCTTCCTCCCATCTCCCACCCTTGTATTGATCTGCAGCCCCATGGAACAGTGTTTTCACTGTGACTTCATTTGCTGTCCCTTGGAGTAAAGTGTATCATCTATGCATTTAGTCAGCCTCCTTTTTTCATGGATCCACGATTGAAGGATCAATACTTAGAGGAAGTATTTTAAACTCAAACATAAAAACACATGGTAAAATGATATTGTTGTTGCTGTTCAGTTGCCAAAGTCCTGTCCGACTTTTGAGACCCTGTGGCCTGCAGAATGCCAGGCTTGCCTATCCTTCACCATCTTCCAGAGTTTGCTCAGACTCATGTCCATTGAGTCGGTGATGCCATCCAACCATCTCATCCTCTGTTGTCCCCTTCTGTTGGATAATTTTGGATAAAAGAGAAAAAAATAAACTTAATGGAAAAATACTCTCATAGATGACCAAAAATAACCTCAATAAGGTTGTGTGTATGAATGCCTTATGGGAATGTATTTGATCAAGTTGACTTTAATTCCTCCATTACACCATAGTCAACACTCTTATTCTCCATGTATGCATAGCATTAGCCTTGCAGAATATTAGTTTACTAAAACATATACTATTTAATTATCATTACTGGAGAGTTAATATGTGTCAGATACTATTTTTTATAATCTTAATGACACAGTGAAGTCAGTACTTGGATGTTACCTTTGTATGGTCTGCTAAATGACCCCTGTGACTTGCTCTGGGTTGCCTGGCACAGAAATATCTGTGATCATTAGTGTTCCCTGCCCTCAATAGGACAAGCCATAGGTCAATACAAGAATCCAGCTTAGGATCTTGTCTGCAAGTCTTCTGGGTAGCCAAGATCAGACTGGATTTTCTCCAGATATGCAAGGCCTTTCTTCTGCAATCCTTACAAGAAGAAGAAAGAAAAGAAAAAAAAGGAAAAGTGTTAAGAGTGTAGTATGAGCAGGATCTCTCCTAGACCACAATCTTTGGATACCTGTCCTTGTTGGCCATGAAGTGGGCCTCCTGTGGGCTTGAGGAAGGCCTGGAGCATTGCATCTACCAGCTGGCTTGTGCGTTCCCATTGCCTGCACCATATTATCATGACTTTGGGTGGGGGAGTGTGGTTACCTGAGCAACCCACTCAAGAATATTGTATTCTACAATGCTTCAAAAGTCTCCTGACATGGGGAAAAGTGGACTGAGAAAAGTTAAGGACCCTGGAATTGCACAGCCTGTGTTAGATCTAAGATCTGAAATCCATTACCTTCCAAAACTAGTACTCTTGATGAATCAAACTTGTGTTCATCCTTTAAATATCTATTAACACTGGCAAAAAAATCTACTTTTTTTGGGGGGGGTAGGATGTAGGGAGGAATTTAAATTAACATATACTTCCTTAAAGATGAGAAAGTGTGATGTCATAAAAATTACACAAACCCAAAGCAAATATGGTACCATTAGTGTAAGGTGTTAGGGATGAAGTGATTGATAGACTAAGGTTAGTATGAGAAAGTTTATGGCAGTAGGTTTTGAAACTAAGGTGCAGATATTTTTGCATGGGAGTCTTGGAAAATGTTCCAAATAGGAGAAAGGGTGTGTTCCAGTCAAGCCTGGGAATGAGGATCAGTCTATATGCTTGGAGGATCAGTTTGCATTTGAGAATTGTCATTCAGACTGAAATGTAGTGCAGGGTGGAGGGCCACATGAGGGGTACAGATTAAAGGCAGCAGCTCAGTTGGAAGGTTTCTGAATTCGTTTCTGCAAGTGACAGCTGGAGTCTCAGACTAGAGGGCCAGCAATATGGAGAGAGAGGTCTCCTGAACTGAATCAGATTCACAATATGATGAGGCTACTGTTGAATCTTTACCACCTTAATCCGCCAGGGCTTCACAATATGATGAGGCTACTGTTGAATCTTTACCACCTTAATCCACCAGGGCTTCACAATATGATGAGGCTACTGCTGAATTCTTTACCATCTAAGCCACCAGGGAGTCCCTGGCGAATCCACCTGCAATGCAGGAGACCCAGGTTCAATCTCTGGGTTGGGAAGATTCCCTGAAGAAGGGAATGGCAAGCAACTCCACTCCAAATTCTTGCCTGGAGAATTCCATGGACAGAGGAGCCTGGTGGACTACAGCCTATGGGGTCACAAAGAGTCAGACACGACTGAGTGATAACACTTTCTCTTTTTTCTATTGCATCAAAAGAATTTGGTGGTTTTATGTGAGCAGACACTGAGTTATCAGATTTGAGCGACTGTCTGGAAGGTGATACCATTTACTGAGAGGAGGCACTGGAGAGCAAATAAGTTTTGGAAGGGAGCAGGAGAAAGAATTAATTCCATTGTTGATTCAGTGAGTTTGAGCAACAAAAATACGCAAGATTGGAACTCCATAGCTTCTGGGTTGAAGACTTGAAACCTATACAATATCATTAGTTATTAAGTCATAATCTTTCTTACTGTTGATAATAAAAGTATAAAGTTTAAAGCTATGTTTGTACAACTACTCATGTCTTTGAAAGACAGAAATGCATTTCTCTCATAATTAAAACAGGTCCTTTATACTGTTTTTAAAGTAGTGTGCATTTTTTGCCAAAACTTAACCTCACCCCCTCCCCATTGTGCCTAATGCGTGTTGGCTAGAGTTATACATGCAAGCTGTCCCTGTGAATATTGCTGGGAAAGTGGCTGTTGTGAGACCCACACATGGTTTTATTACCCTCTCTCCCAATGAGTTAGAGCAGTAACTTGTTATGAAGGAGCATCAAGTGAATGGAAAATCCATATCAAAGAGCATGTTCTACTTTTATGTTGGTAAGCCTGAAGTTGTTTCCTGAGTAATGAGAGAAGCCAAAGCCAAATTTTATGGGTTCAAAGGGAAAGTATAAATTTCAGATGTCTTGGCCATAGCCACTGCGAACATGTTTATAGATCTGGACAAGAGGTGTAGGGAAGGAAATAACTCGTGGAAGAAAGAAAAAGACAGTGTTTGACGGTGAAGAAATACTGCTCTATGCAGTATGTCCCAAAGAATAAACAATGGTAAACAAAGGCAAAAAAAGAA